TCTCAGTTCAGTCACTTCAACACACATTCGTAAAGTTGTTGTTCACTATATCACAATACCGTTAACTCGTGTTCACAGTAGTTCAGATACTGATCTTAGTTCAGATACCCTAAAGCACGTTCTTAAAGTTACTCCTCACAGTGCCAATTGATCACGCCGCCTCTGCTCCTTCATTGCTAAGTGATAGTCCTTCACCTGCTTCTACTTCATCCAGCTCACTTGTTTCTTCTTCTTCATCTTCTCAAAAAGAGAAACTCTAACTGTGAATTAAATACTGTAGAATATAGTACGGTAATATTAGATCCTAGCGCTGTAATAGTTCAACCTACCTCCGTAGAAGTTCAACCTAGTACTGTAGTAACACAGCCGAGCACCTCCGAAAACCCTCTAGTACATTTATTTACATTTGATCATCCTACAGATAATTTTCAAGAGCAAAGTAGAGTACTTGACCACCTTTTCGAAGTTAAAAGAGAACTGATCCTCGAGTACGTAAATTCAAATTTTCAGCAGTCTCTTGAGTAACAAATTGATATAGTAGAAGGTACCCTATTTTCAGGTGTATAAGCCGCGGGGTGGTCCTAGCTTACATCGATCAGCCCGAACACATCAAAGGACTTCGCAACGAAAGGGCCCTATACTGTGCTGCTTATTACCTGAAATAATCGTGCGGCAGAAGGTCGCTTCTCGAAACACAATAAAGCGGCGGAGCAGCCCGGGCGAAAATTTGAAAAAGTGCGGCTTATACACCTGAAAATAGGGTACTCAACTTTATACAGTAGTAGATACCCCATCACAATCTTCTATAGTACAGCGAGACTGGTCCCCAATCACGAAACTCCAAATTTTCAAGAATCTTTTGTGCCACAAGTAAATACAGTAGTAGACCTACCAGTACACCCTTTTGCAATAAAACGAGAACTGGTCCCCGACCCCCGAGTTCATAGGTTATCAAGACTTTCGTAATAAACGAGTTAATACTGTTGTAGAACCTCCAGAACCACTTTTCCTAATCAAACGAGAACTGGTCCCTGACCAAGAACCTTTAGATTGCCATGTTTACGCAATTCACTTACCCAGCTCCGCGTGCACGACGACAATGAACATCTTCCGCTACCATAGTTTAAAGACAAACTGGACGAGAAGGCGGGCAGAAATAGAAAAAATTAAACGGTCATTTTCTCGCTATCCATGTTACTGTTATCTTGATGTAATAAACAGTTGTTTCTGTTTTTAAATTCACAAAAAAAACTTCTAAACATGATGTGATGATGACTGATAAGACTGATGACCGCCAACGATGAAGAATAAGTCGTAACTGTCTACGCAGTTCACCTATTCTTCCGCGAAATGGAGCCTTCGAAGATGCAAAATCAACAGCCTCATCACCACGTTCGCCAGCTATCTATAAGCTCGAAAACGAGCTTAAATTGGAAATGGAGATGTCGGGACCCAGCCCGGCAACAGCTGCTAGCTGGGGGCAGAGCCATCGCCTGAGGCTCAGTGAAGGTGGGAGCACCGGAGCCGACGGCTCGCCCTACTTCCCCCTCCGTCCTCCCCTATGTATCACCCATATTTAATTAATCTCAATAAATATTTATAATACTCTAATGTACTTACCTCGCACCGCTACGCTCAGGCAAGGGTCCGTACATCCCTTGAACCTGACGGGTGGATAAGTCCTCTTACCGCGCCTGAGGTTATGACAAGGGTTGAGCAGGAGGTCAGACCATACCTTCGATAGTCTAGAGACAGGGCGCCAAAAGTGAAGGTTGTTTGAACATCTGACGTCATAAATAGTGAAGGTTGTTTGAAGAAGATCAGAGAGGAGAAAGTGACGTAAAACAGATATAAAGCAAAAGAAACCGCTGTAAACCGGATAAAAACGCTGCAATAAGTTTTGTATTTCATTTGGCGGCTTTCGGAGTGCAAGTTTTCGCTCCAAGACCAGCAATTCGCAACACGGGGTTTTGATTTTTGTTCCGTCCTTTGAATTTTTACCCCCGCATTGACGTTCCTGTTTCCTGGGACGTTTCTGGATTGTTGCGCTTATTGTTCTGAGCAACAATCGCCCACGCTGGAAAGAAATCGATGCGAAAGCACTGAAACAGAACAAGGTAAAGAAAAACGCACTTTTTACGATTTTTCGCAAAAAGTTCCATCATAATCGAAGAGGTAAGGGCTGGGTGGTCGTCTGCATTATGAACAGAAGCAAGATCTATAGAATGCACGAAAAACCGCGTGGAAAGAGTTAAACTAGGAGAAAAACAAGAGATTTTCGAAAACACGGTTTTTGCTGGATTTCTCGATCAAATCAAAAAATGTGGTTCCGGGACGTTGTCAGCATGAAAATAGAGATCAAGAGCTTTGAAATGATATATAGCTTGCAAAATTTGGGTTCGAAACAGCGAAGAAAAGGGTACCAGAGCCAAATGCCCCGCGCCCCGCGCATGGGGTAGCGAGGTAGCGCGCAGCGCGCGGAGACGCAGGCGAGCAGCGGAGACAGACTAGAGCCGACGAGACATTTGGCTCTGGTCGTAGATCTCCGCGGGTTCTCAACGAAACCCTGCAACATCACATATCATTCTGATCGTCATGACACGGCGAGGAGAACTGACAACGTCCCAAGCTTTGAAAATCACTCGTTAACGAGATAGACCAACGTACTCGTTCGCGATTCTCTGCGCAAGAATCAAGCGCAGTTTCTCGTTTTTATTTAACTCCAATAGCGTTCCTAAACTTTTGAAACTCTATTTTGGTCAAATGAGAGGTTAACTGAGAAATTTTGTCCTGAATTCTGGCGAAAATTCCACAGAAACCTTCTTTTTAACGTAAAAAATGCTATAAAAAAGCAAATTCTCGGTTTCGCTGAAATAAGCTAGAGATATTATTTCCTATATTTGCTTCATTAACATAAGTTCCGATATAGTCAGGATAATAACGTCCAGGGCGAAGCCCCGGATGACTTCTTTTTTCCAGGTGAATGTTGTGTCCCCTCATAGCCCTCAAAGTGAAGGTTATCAGAGTACGTGGCTATATGTATCGAGGGTATGGGTCAGACGCAAGTCTTTTGAAAACGACCCCCCTCCTCAGAAAGCCCCAAGCAACCCCATTCTTCCTCCTTTTCACCTTCGCAACCTCTATAAGCGACATTCTGGAGGAACCATTCTTTCCTAAAGAGTTTTTCGATTTTTGAGGTGTGTACGCCCGATTTTCTGTGATTGCACTTTACAGTCACACGAAACTCGACTTTTGATTCTGATCTATATGTTTATGACAAGGGTCAAAATTTCTTTGAAGGCAGCGTCCCACCAGAGTGGGGAGCACCTGGCTCTGGTAGTAATGTGATAGTAAACCTCCTAACTAAGCGACGAAAGAAGTTTGCAGCGCGAAAGGACGCCTACGAAAGTCTACAAATCGCCTCCAAGTGGCAGAATCTTACGGTAGGCTCGGGCGAGTACGAGATGCTGCAGGGTAGAGACGCAGAGTCGTTGCGCGACCCTGCACTCAGACTGTGTGCGCATGCGTGCTCTTGCCGTTCGAAATCGGTCTGTGGACGAGTCCGGGATTAACCGTAATGTATTCGGGCCACTTTTGGAGCAAATTTCAGGCTTGGTGGACCCCCTCTTTCGTTCCGCACTTCAGTCATCGCTTAGGTAGGGGGTCTACTTTAACACTGCCGCAAAAACCCGACACCCATCTTTTTGTCGGGACACTGAAGGCGGGTGTTTGGCTTCAACTTTTCACTGTAGCAAGAAGGAGGAAGGCTACAAAAGCTCAGACGGCCTGACCCAGTTAACTTCATAAACGAAAATCTTTTCTTTTCTGTGGTTCCTAGCACAAACCTCGAAGATTCTACACTAGGTGTTTGACCTTACTTGGTCTTGTTCCGGCTTTGTGGTGATCGGTGGAGTTGAAGCACTCAAGATGGAAAATGCGGCGATTGAAATTTGGCAGCGCTTCTTGATCCACATTTGGAAGCGATAAGAGATCCAATTTCTACCTTTGACTGACTAAGAGCATTACTTCGTTTTGAGCACAAGAAAGCAAAGCCCAACAGGAGATTGGAGATTGCTGAATACAGCCCATGGAGCACAATATCACAGATTTTGGTATAAGCAGCTAAGTAGTACTGGTTAAAGAATAAGAGCGACGTTCTCCTTTCAAGAAAATGATCTCAACTAAGCCGCATTTGCGTTTCTGTATTTTTGCTACTTAGAGGCCCCGTCCACCCAGATTCTCAAATTCCAGGTTTATGTCGTTTCAGGGCCTTCTCATGTCCCTCCGAATATGAAGTCGAGAATCCGCGAAAACCCCGACAATCCCCGTTCCGGAGAACCCACAAGCCGGCTTTTCGAAACGGTGATTGGATGGGAGCGCATAAATGGGCGGGCATGGATGGGAGTCCTTGTGCATCTTCGCTATTCCGAAGAGATTTTCTCGCTTCCGAAGCGACATTTTGCGCCGCGACTTGGGCGTTGGCTTGATAGGGGCCCTACTATCATATGCTGCTAAAAGCTCAAAACCCCAGTCTAGGGTGGATGGTGACTCAAACAGCCCTCAACTATCGGAGAATGCTGTGATATTTCTTCGAGCCTGTTTCCAACGTGTTCCATGCAGATATGAGTTTTTAAACAGCTCTTCAACTGGTGCCTACTACCTGCTAACTAAAAAAATTTCCCTTTGTGCAATTTATAACTTGCAGAAAATTTCTGAAAGCCAACTCAGTCGAGTCCTGGTCCTGACCAGCTTCCTTTGCCAAATCCGAGTGACTACAGCAGATGCGAGCGCTCAACAGTGAATTGTGAAGGGGGAGGGCTCGCATAGCTTTAAGAACGACGTGAGCTCGTGCTTACAACGATAAAGCTAATTTTATTTGTAAAGATTTTGAATGAAATCTGGCGCACACTAGGAATCTTCCATGCCAACATCACCATGGCGTTTGCTGCTCATGTGTGGAACTTGACTCTCATCCTGGGACTGCTGTCATTATGATCTCACTATCGAACAAGTCGCCTCATATCAAGCTGTAACAAACATTTACACCGTATTCAAGACATGCAAACGGGAAATAATCTCTCAACAATCAACACTAACAACAAATGCTACACCACCCTAGGCCGCTTTTTATCTGGTTCAATTTGTGCATGTCTTCTCTTGTACCCGTATTTCGCAACAAAACTGCAAATATCAAAATCGGTTATGAATCGCTCGTTTCTACCCTGATAAAAGATGCTGAGAAAAGGGTAGACCATACTCACTCTATTAGCAAATTCTTGTCAATTGGATTGATCATGCTGTTGTAGACAGATTGAGCCGTTTTCAATGAATTTGGCAGTGACTTATCCGTGCGTTCCCGCATAAATATCCATTGACCATTCTAAACAAAACTATGACTTGCACATGTTTCGTAAAAAAAAAGCGAAAATTAGCTTACATCAAACGTGCACTCGATAATCTTGTTATCGTATGGTAAAAGCTTTTTCGTCGCTTTCATAGTGGCCATCGGCTCATTCGCATGCTGGACGTAAAGATAACCGATGTGTTGTGGCAATTCGCCTTCCTTGACTACTCTGAAATGGTGAAGAGCAATATAAAATGAGCTTTTGTTGCAGCAAAATTCAGAAATATCGCGCTGTCCTATCAATAATAGTGGTGGAATAAAAATGGTCTTGGAATTATCATTTCAAAAAGAAGTAGGATTTTTGGTGAAATGCCATGAAAGGACATCTCCGATTTCTCAAATCAGGAAAAATATAGCCACGACTCATAATTTTGAGAAAAAAGAATCAGTGTTCATGATGGAAGAATATCCTAGGATTACCACAAGATGACAGAAAATAAACCCTTTTCATGCAGTTAAATCAAATCATGGATGTTGTAGATGAAAACCTACGAAAGGGACCGCAAATTATCGCGAACTTCTCCTTTTTGCGCATAACTTCACAGAAGGGTGTCTCTTAATAGGAGAAACAAGGAAAAATTGTTACTAACTTCCTAATCTGCAACTTGAAGTCGATGGAGTTATGTGACGGCGGCTTCCATTTCAAGACTAGGTCCGATCGTCCGGGAGTGTAAGGCTGCAACAAAAATTTACAGCAAAGTCGATAGATACTACGAAAGACTTGGCACAACGGCTTACCACATCCACGGGCTGCAAGATCAATCCATCGATCTCGTGCCCCACATTCTTTGTGAACTTTGGCTCAAACAATTTTGGCAATGCTTCCAGTTCCCAGAAATCTTTCACTCGCACAGACATTGGTTCCCGTTCCTTGCGTATACGACCTTCCTGAAGTCATAGATAAAATGATCATAAGATTCTAACCATTCCAAGAGAACTGATTACAATCGAACGAAATTGCTCAAGATACCCTGATTGCTTTATTCCTTGGTTCAATGAGCTCCCGTCGGATGCACTGGAAACGAATGTCGAAGTTCTCCTTGCCGACGTGGATGTCCTGAATGCACATAGATACTTTACCAAAGAATGAAGAATGATAATGTTCATAGAAGCTTTGATTTACCTCAAAATGTATGATATCATATATCAAAAGCCGTGGAAGATCGACCATATCTCCATGCTCATTTTTAACCTAATAAGATTGAGATCACAAAGGAACATAAGAAAAAAGCATAAAAAAGATCATTTGCTACAGAACTCACGTGGTCAATAATCATTTCTGCGTCAACTAATGTGTTTTGTACATGACGATCATACTTTCTGTGAGGGAACGTCAAGCCTTCTATCAGAAATACCTGAAATGTAAAGAAGATACTAAATTCGTCGCACTATAGGTGAAGTATAAAAAAACAGAAGCCATGAAAAGGCGTATGGATCTTTCTCAAAGCTCGTGTCAAGAAAAACTAACCTCATTATCACGATCAAATGCATAAACTTCATTTGGTCCATTGATATAAACCATGTACCTGAACTTTGAAACTTTTTGAAGAAACGAATAATAAGCTTAGCAAGCAAAAAATTTGAGGATGAAACCTCAAAGGTTCCAGATTTCGGCAGGAGGAGCAAAATGAGGAGTTTCTATGCTACACATTTCTGTCAAAGTGATCGCTGATAGCCTCGACTCTAGCAGTTAAATTAGCAAGGTGATTGTGAACGTGCAGAAAATATGGCAGCAATCGGTCATAATTTATAGAATGAGTGTAATAATTGGGTCCATTGTACTGTATTATCAGTGACCGTAATGAGAATAAGTGATTGACTATGACAAGGGCCATACTTGATCCACTTGACCCACTTGATCCAATCTGCTAGTGGTTAGTTCACTGATTTAAGCAGCAGCAATGTGGTTTGAGTGGATCAAGCGCATCAACTGGATCAAGTATGGGTACCTATGACGCGCAAAGGAGCATAACACATACGACTCTAACTTTTCTTAAAGGTTTGTGTCAAAGAACAGACCAAAACCACGCGATGTGCGATGATGGTATTCTCAGGTTCAGAGAATATGAATACAAAGACATGAAAAATGTACAGAGTATATAAGTGAATGAGAAAAACGAATACAAAAAAAGATTACCTCATGCCATCTGCTTTCCATGACACCATATATGGACGCTGTGCCAAAAGCTTCATGTTATCGGCCTCACGTGACCTTTCCAGCGACACTGGTTGCAATCCAGGAAAGCCGTCACGTTTAGCTCCACATAATTCTTTGATCTAGACGTAACATCAATCAAAGATAGATGCCACCAAAATTGCAAAGCTCACCTTGCCCTGTAACATTTTCTTTTTTATGGAGTCGGTGACTAGATTAACATTGCGTACGAGGCCATCCATGAATTGTTTCGCAGGTTTTCCAGGTTTGCCTGTAGTAAACAAAATGCTGGGATGCACATTGGATAGAATTCTGAAGCAAAAACCATACTATCTCCGTTCTGATTCCCATTTTCTTGCTTTTCCTCGGACGCACTTGTAGACGCCTCATTAGAGTCATCATAGCTATTTGCGTCACCGTACTCCCATGCTGGCTTACTTGGAGCCTAAGCCAAGTCGCTTTTCAAGCATTTTGCTCAAAATCGCAAAAGGATGAGAGTGGCTAGCCTCAAGACAATCATCTGGGTCGCCATATCTTTCAAACAGATCTCCCAAGTAGTCTTGTTTGTATATACCACATGGCCGTTCTTTTGCAAAGGTCAAAACCGCACAATCCACTGCCCAATCCTAAAGTTCAAATAGTCAATCAAATGCATTTGACAAATATAGAATCTTACCTTGGCAACAACCATATATGCAGCGATAAGGAAACCCGTACGATTGAATCCATGAGTACAGTGCACTCCTACTAATTCACCAGGATGTTCCTATAAATAATCAGCTACATCTACATTCACAATCTTCTATACGATTGGAGGTAAAGCTCAGAGATATATAAGGAAAAATGCATGATAATGAAGGTTTCTACCTTGGTAAACCCTTGTACCAGCCGAATAAATCGATCGGTTTCATCTTGTGTAGGTGACGAACCGTGACCAGCAAGTGGCATTTTGCGATATGTACAACCGTGACTTTCAACCTACAATCAGGGAATTCAAATAGTGATTTATAGCTTGATGAAACACTTCCTTGGATCGTTAGATATACGCATGTATAACAGGTGAAATTATACATGAAAGTAGTGTCTTTGTAAAGGAAAAATGCATGCAACGTAAAAGTAGGAAAAAAGATTGAAAAAATCAGCAGACCCAGATAACTTATTATAACTTACTTCCTTAATGAAATAATACCGATCTGTTTTCGTCAGATCTACCCATAATCCTATCTTCTTTCCTCGCACTGCTGGATGATTGAAGACATCTTCGGGATGAAAACGCAAGCGTTTGTCTATTTGATCGTCATAAAGGGAGCAAAGAGGTGTTTTGAAAGGGAAGAAGAGATTATCCACAACCTAAAACAAGATCTTTTCAGAGTTTTCTGGCCAAAAATATATCAGCCAAAAAAAAGGCAGAGTACTTTTGGTAGAGCAACAATCTGGTGTGCTCAAAATCCACCATAAAACCCCAGGCAAAAGAGCAACTCAGAATTATAGAGAATCAAAAAATCATTAAAAAGATGCGCATGTTCATCAAATAGCTCAATAGCTCACCTTGCCTGTTTTGGGACAATGCATCCACCGATCGGGAACACCTATAAGAGCCTTTTCCGGAGTTGGCCCACTCATCTGCAAAGGAACACCGTCAATGACTTCAATTACATTCATATTTTGCAGAAGTGTGTATTACACAAATTAAGAGCAAATGACTTTCAGCAAGCAAGTATCATCTATTCTGAGACTAGAAAACTCGATACCACTTTGAGCACATTGTCTAAACAAAGTTGGACTTGTTCTCCCGTATGTTTAGACAGCACTGCAAAGCGTACTTGACTTCTAGTCCCACCATGCGAAAGCCGGAATGAAGAATCTTACTAAGACAGCGCCACTGTGCAGGAGAAGAGGCCAAAATTATGATCGTTGAAGCACCAAGCACTCGAAATAGTTGAAATGATTTTTTTATGAGGATAAGAGAAGACCAACTCCATGTGAAGAATGCAAAACTGAGAAAACTTGCATTCATTTCGAATGCTCAAGTTTGTAATTCAGAAGTCAGCGACGAAAATTCCAACTTCATCATTAAAGGTCAGATTTGGCATTGGAGCGCAGCAGGTCGGCTAGGTCAGCGTGCAAGAAAGCCTGAAACAAAGAAGATAGCGTGCGCCGTAAAAAAGTGGTGAATCACGCATTTGCGCGCCAGCGACTTGAGTGTTCGAACAAAAGCTTCAGTAGACTTATTCCACTGCTTATCACAAGACAGTCTTTTTCACTGCTATGGCACCCGCCATACTCCGCCAAATCCACTTGATCCGCTTGATCCGCTTCATCATTGGTCCATTTAGTGAACTGACCAATAGTGAAGTGGATGAAGTGGATCAAGCGGATCAAGCGGACAACCGCTTCGCTATTGCTCAATTTACTGAATCGAGTATGGTCCAAGTATGGCGGGTGCCTATGTTTACTGACGAGCTCGAATAATGCTTATCTACTGCAAGCTATACTGCGTCATTAACTGCTTGCTATACCGCTTGCCATGTCCTCTTGACGTATACTTCTCCACTCTTGAACAACATGTTGCCTGGAGGCATTTTACGTATTCATCCGTTCCGCGTTCTCATCGGTGACGAAACCTCACAGGTACCGAACTCATGGTCATTCTGGCGATTAGACTCCCTTCTGTGCGGCATATCTACATCGGACATCTATCAATGGAAACACATGCAAAATGCGAAAGCAGCTGACCCGGAAGTCTGCGGCTTTCAGAAGCACAGTGCAAATTATGGCAAACGATGGCGAACGGTTGTGTGATGCTATAGCTCGCGTGTAGCTGTGCAGATACGTAACAGATCATCGCTGCTGCGATAGCTTGTGTGTAAGTGTGCAGATACGATGGTAAACGGTTGTATTTGATGCAAGAGCTCGATAGCAATTGTAAACCAGAATCATTTACGAAATCATTTACAGTCTCGATGGACTGCGCATATAACTGTGGGAGAGGTAGGAATTGTGAAAATGTAAGAGTAGCGCTTGCGCGTTATACATTCCTTTCCTTCTGGATTTGATGGCGTAAACCTTAGATTAATCATCTAGTTAATAGACCCGATGTGGATCCGGGAAGGAAGAAGCAAACTTGGACGAAGCCAGAGTACAACACCTACAATTGGAGACTTGTCAATTCCGACAATTAGTCGCTGGATAGGAAGTGTGTAGTTGTGCAGATACGTGATAAAAGGACTGAAGCTCGCCTGCTGGCCTCAGAGAAATTATCATGAAACTGTCTTTCCGGAACAGTAATCGTAAGAGATCCGGTTTTGTTATAGGCGTGCAACCATGACCCACCTGTTCAGGGCGTGGTCGGTCTGTCCGAAGCCGCAGAGGAATCCTCCGCTACGAAGCTACAGAGCGGTTGACTATCGTACACTCGCCGTCCTCCCGCTCATGCGGTCACCCGTATCCACCTCTCTACATGATCGCTTGAATCTCAATATCATTGTACCATGCCATACTGATAAACTACTATAATGATATTGTGTTCGTCTACTAGTCTGACAGCCGCTTCCACGGCGCTACTTACTAATTACCACTGACGTCTACAAACTGAACGTCATCGATCGTGAGTGGATCCAAGATCACCTTGGCCTTTTCCACAACTACATCTTGGATCTCAAATCCGTAAGGATACGAATGGCCCAGTTATTCAACGCCGCCGCCTCAGCCTTAGCCGCTGTCAGATTTGACAACGATGACCGGCAGGTCCACTGGTTGGAGCTGGTTGTTCCATCTCTTCGCGTCTACCCCTCCAGCTCTCCTTCACAATATCCAACATGGTCGCCGAACGAGGATGGGAGCGAGTACGCCCCGTGGAATTATGGCTAGGCGGTATCCACCACTCCTTTCCTGCTAAGGTTCACTAGATGTCTAACAACGCGAAGAGTCGCCTACTTCGTGTTACCCTGTTGCCTAATCATGGTCTAACTCCTTCCTCACAGAGGCAGCCGAGCATTGGGGACGACTTATCGCAAAGGAGCGCCTACTCAACGGCGCAATCCGCCTCGGCAAAGTTTCTACTACCACAGAACCGGCCTACGAAGCGATAGCGAAATGGACAACTTCGAGACACTCGAGTTAGGCTGTTCCGACTACTCAATCGTAGCGATACAAGCCGCCTTCGACAGAGGCAAAACTGTAGTCGGCGCCGTGGTCGTCGCTCGCCTCTGGTCTTCCGGCTGCAAAGTCATCGTTACTGCATCTACAAATACCGCGGTATTACAATTCGCTCAGACCCTATTGGACTTGGATGCCGCAAATGGCTTCAACGTTCTCCGCTATGTTTCCGAGACCGCTGCTTCAGACGATCCGACTCCCTCTCCGTAGACAAGAAAGTCTTCAAGGCCTTGGGCGATGACTTCGCCCCCAACCTCAGTAACCTCGACAGTGACATTTGCCGGTGCTTCCGCGATGGGCGCCTTGTGTTTGAACGTTACCAGGGTATGGTAAACCAAGAACTGACGAAAGAGCAGCGCGACGAGTATATCTTGGCCGAAAAGGAGGTCTCAGATACGATCGACAAGATGGTGAAAATCATGGTCAAAGTCCGTGCTCCTTACATCCTCTGCATAACGACCTCCTCTCTCCTCAACAGGACCCGGCCCAAAGGCATTTTCGAGAACTTTGCCCCATACTACAACACCCTCGTCGCTGAAAGCGTCTCAAATCCCAGAGAGATCGCCATGATGAATCGCCTACCCCAGGCACGTCACATCTGCAAAGGGGACGTCCACAAGCATGAACTCCACATGAGTTGCTCCCGCAACTCCAACCCCGCCAAATTTGGGGCTAAGAGCATGAGGGCCTCCTCATGTCCTCTCAGGCACTTCCGGTCGCGTCCTCACTTACAACCTGCTCATCCACTTCTCAACGATCTGTCCAATGAGCTCGTCTACGGCGGCACACTTCAGAGCGTACTCCCTGCGGCCAATGGGCGACGCTACTCAGCGTCATGAGAGTACCGACAGTCAAACACCATTCTTGCTCGTTAACGTGGCGGACAACGCCGAACGAGCGGCAAGCCGCTCATACTTCTATGAGGCAGAAGCACAAGTCAGCCGCATCATCATCGGAAGATTGAGGGTGCGCGATATTTAAACGCAGTGTCTCTGTATTCCCTGCTTTCATAAGGAGCAGCGGCGTCTCATGATTTCCTTCGCTCAGGACGCGCAGATTGAACTCGCAACAATGGGCTCTATACAGGATCGAGAAAAGGATATCATTATTCTGCTCACCACCCGCAGCGACATCACCCCAAACACGTTCACTGAATTCCTCGACGACCGCAAGCGCCTCAATGTGGCCTTCACTCGCGCGCGGCACGGCTTGTTCCTCCTGGGGCACGTGGGCTCGTTGCGACCAATCAGTTAGTGGGCAACCATCGCTCGGTGGGCAGAACAGCGCAACGCTGTTGTATCAGCAGCCGCCCTTGGCTGGTTTTTAACCCAAATAGTTACCCCGGCCAGCTATACCCCGGCCCAGTAACGGTAGAACTTTTTCGTTTTTCTTTTTACTCTTGCACCTCCTGCACACCCTTTGGTTCTCCACTCACCTTTTCGTATAAGTCCGAAGGCGGACTTGTGAGAAAATGTAAGAGATCCGTTTTGTTATATGCATGCAACCATGACTCGTCTGTTTAGGGCGTGGCCAGTCTGTCCGAAGAAGCAGAGAGATTCTGCGCTACGAAGCTACAGAGCGGTCGACTACCACACACTCACCTTCCGCTCGTGCGGTCAGCCCGCATCCACCCCTACCACATGATCGCTTGAATCTCAATATCATTGTACCATGCCATACTGATTAACTATTATGATGATATTGTTTCCAATGGCTAGAGCGAGGCTCTAAACAAGAGCATAACGTGAAAGCAGAAGCCATACTAAACCTAATAAAAAGCCTAATGACTTCCACGAAGGTCAGCATCAAAAATATGGAGGAGCATCTGGTGAAGCTCGAACGACAGGGCTGCACTGACGAAAAAACAACACTATCCGTTCGATGTCAGCAGCTCCAGAAACAGCTTGGAGACTTTCAACTGGAGCGAGATGATCAAATGGCGAAACTGGAGAAGAAAAATGAGTAATGCCAAAAAGAGATCGAGTTATTGAAGAAAAAGTCGCAGCATCAGCAGAAGGGGGCCCAGACAGGCTGGTCAACCCAGATTGAAGAAGCTGCCGAAAGAAGCGAGAGGACGATCGGATGGAAATCGAGCTCCTCAAAGAGGAGATAAAAATCGGCGATGAGGAGCTAAAAGCCGCCTTGACAAGTTTGGAAAAGCTAAAGGACGAAATTTCGAGACTAGAGGACGAACTTGAAAAGAAAACCGCAAATACTGGCGCACTCGTAAACAACATCCACCTCTACTCGGTAAAATCGAAAAGAAGAAAAAGGAACTATGCGAGTTGAAAAAGCAACTGAAAGAAGAAAAGTGGCGCTCGGAGCAGACGAGTCAAAAGATGAAAGTGCAACATCAACAAGAGATAACGCATCTTGAGGAAATAATTGAGAGGAAGCAGAAAAATCTCGAGCGTCTAGTGGAGAGAAACGAAGAAATGCAAAAACAGCTGGATGAGCATAAAAAG